CCTCCTCAAAAGAGGCACTCTCGCTTGCTGCCTTCTCATGAGGACTGATTTCATCAAATAGAAGACCATCATATTTGCTTCTTTTCTGAACACAAAATGTTATACAAGGCCTTGATAGCATCTCCTAAGTTGTCCTCAATGTCAAACTCTACTCTGTTCATGCAAATCATATCCATGAAGTTGTTTCACTAGTGGTAGTTATGAAAGATTTAGCATTCCTATCCTCTTTCTTCATCCACAAAAATCTAGAATGTTGCCTCCAAGAAATCTCCTCCATAACCATCATCTAGGCCAACTCCAGTTTGGTTAACTGTCTTCTCTCCTTTCATCTTTGGAGAGTTGAACTTATCCTTAGCAAAGGAGAGGTTCCTATCAACTTTATAGCTAGTGAAGCCGATACGGTTTAACTCTTCTCACCAGGCCTAACCAATGTTGTTGAAGCCCACCCCTTTTTGTCAGTTATTCTTGAACCAAAAATGGGTTGGAACCCCATTTAGTACTACATCAAGACAAATAGGGTGGTAAAGGCACCCCTTAGTTTTGTTAAAATAATAAAAAAAAGGACAATTTTAGTATATTTAAAATACTGAGACATGTCTCTAGAATTTTTAGAATTATTTAAGAGCATTATAGATATATATATATATATTTTTGAAATAAAGAGCATTATAGATATTTACTTGGTCAAAAACATTTTTATGAAGAGCGTATGAGCTCCCTAAAATAAAAGCTATTCAGAGTTGTTGTATGACGAGCTTATAAGGCACCTAGTCTATAAGCTTCTTATTGTTTACCAAAAACACACCATGAAATCCAAAATACTTGTAGAGAATGTTGACCAAAAATTATGCTGAGCCAAATAGTGTATTATGCTCATCTTTGAAATGTTCAGGAAACAAGGATTCAATACAATGAAATGGAAATAACAAAAGGAAATGATATTTTTACACCAGTAGCATAAAAAATGTTGTTTAGGATCTCAGAGAAATTAGGGTTCTTCTGGAGTTTTCTTAAAAAAAAAAAATTTTTAAATTATTAAAAACAAACTTTTTTAGAAACCCTCCATGTGTAATTACCATAGAAGCAGCCCATATCATTAATCTTCAAACAATAATTAATCAGATACTAAAACATGGGATAAGCATCTCAACCTCATGTTGCAGTGAATTTCTTTCTGGAGGCCATGGGGAAGGAACACTTAAAATATAACATGTCTAAAAGAAAACAGCACTCCAGAAATGAGAAAAGGAATAACAAGAGGGAAATATGTATACCTAGGCTCCCAACCAAGTACTTCAGCCATTCCGACAAATGACAGAAGATATGGAGCTCCAACTTTTGATGCTTGAATTGCAAGTTCTCGATGACCAACGTGTAATGCATCAAACTTCCCAAGGGCAACTATCCCTCCTAGTGAACATAAACAATAGCCAATCAGAACTCATATACCTTAAGTTAAAAGAACAAACATTCACCAATAAAATTTGGAAAAAAGATCTATCAAACATAAGGAACACACATTTTGTGCTGTTTCTAAAGCTAAATCCTCACTTAAAGGATTTGCTTTTGTACATTTAAAGTTAAAATAAGCAAACATTCACCAACAAACTTTTATACATGTACCTCAAACACAATGAAATTAGACATGGAATGATCTGTACAATATCTGTAAAGCTCCAAAATCCTCACTAGGCTCTATCAACAAAATAAACAGAGCAACTTAATTCTATCAAAATGTAAGCAAGCCTGACAAATTTTTCTGTTTCTTTCTTTCTTTCCTGCTTTACAATCTTTAGTACTCGATGACACCTAAAGTTCTTGCTCAAACCCACCGAGGGACCACCCCAGTCAAGTTTAGTAGACCTACAGCTGAATCCCACAGCCATCTGGCCTCACAGTCTCACAAGTTCATAACAAGCCATTGACTGTGATCTTTCTCTCTTCCTCAAGCTTTTTTTTTTTGGTGGGAAGAAAGAAAGAAAGAAATATGCTGCAGAAACATCGAGTTTACAAACCTCTCAAGGACAAGGAAGCCTATAAAATGTACAAAATTAACACCATCCTGACCATCTCAGTCAACTTCAGAGGACTTAGAGTTGAATCCCAAAGCCTTCTAGCCTCTAAGTGCTATAGGAGAAGATAATTGAACAATTCATAGTCCCACAAATGCATTTTTTTTAAATAACAGTCCCACAAACGCATAAGACAGCCTTTAACTGTCGTTTCTCTCTTTCTTGTGTTTTTATTTTCTTTTTGGAGAATGAAAGAAAAAATATATTGCGGAACAACAAAGGGGTGCAACCCAAATACAAAGAGAGATGCTTACAAAGCTCTCAAGGACAAGGAATCCAATAAATCGATAAAATTAACACCATTCAAGATGAAATGCCCCTGATCAAAATATTAAAAATCCTAAACAAATGATCGAAGTCAGCAAAAGAAGAATGGACACCATCAAATCCTCTCCTATTCATCTCTTTCCAAATAACCCAGTAAATGGTCAAAGGAATATAATGCGGGACAAGTTAAGGTTAATTTTCCTATTTAGGAATTTAGAAATAAAAACTTAGACATTACATCTAGAGTTTTTTAGACATCACATCTAAAAAGTAAAAAGCTAGTGGAATACTCTAAACCAAAAGTAATCAATGTTCCCATTAATTCTGTTTTATTAAAAACATCAATCACTTTACAAGCACACTACAAAGAGCTAGAAAGGTAAACATATCCAACGGGTGGAATTGCCTTTTGCAGTGGAAACTATATATAGATAGTTCTAAGTTCATGAAAACATTATGTAAATGAATAGTAACTATGAGAAGAAACAGATAACAGAGGAATGGTCGAAGCAAAACCTGCCACTGAGGACAACCCTTCAGCACGAAACTCACGATCATCTTCTTGTTGGCTTTGAAAAAAGACACTCAATGAGAAACAAGGAAAAAAGAAGACAAATATTGGATGGATAAGACAAGTGTGCATACCATGCAGATGTATCTACAAGGAGCAAGTAGGACTTCTAATACTAAAACCCATTTCCCTCCCAACCCCATTTGCCCTTTTGCTCGTCGTTTAAGTTTCTTATAAAATGCAAAGCACAAGGCTCGATGGATTAATTAATCCGGAGTGTCGATCACATACTGATAAGCGAAAATTGTGAAGTGCAGAATTACGAGAATTAACATAACAATGCGCAAAGACAACACAAAATTAAAACCACATACTTAGGTTTATACTTCAATTTTTTTTATTCAATTCCTTTTTTACTTTATCTTCCTCATCGATCAAACGATGAAAAACCTAATTCTAATGTTTTTGAGACGAGAAAAACAAGAAATTTGAGAACAGAAAAGAACCAACCTGAAACAATCTGGAAGAATAGGAATTTCTCCAGGATGTTTGCATTGAAGGGTAGACGAAGAGACAATTCTCTGCTGAAGTCGATGATGATTGTCTCCGATTGCGAAGGAAGGAAGAGGTCTAGCAATGAAAGAAGAGAGCTGAACAATTTTCGTGCTGTAAAGGCGCAAACCAAACCCTAATCCTAAGATTTGGTGGTGATGAAGATGGTAATGGTTGTAATCTCGTAAGTGGTGGGAAAGACGAGAGCCACCACCCAACATTATCAGTTGAGCTGGTATCAGAATGAATCAGCGTGGAATTTTGGGTTCAATCGAAAACCAGACTTCCATCTGTCCAGTTTACGATTAGTTTTGAGTGGTGATTCTTTATTACACCATGTGCTTCTAGATGTTGGGGTGGTTTTGGCGCAGTGAGCAGTAAAATTAGTTTTAAGAAAATAATTTTAGAGCTGAGAATAATATAATATTTAATAAAAATTTACTGTAGAACTATTTTAAATATAAAATTTAGTATACTGTATGTAATTATTTATTTTAAATAATTTAAATAATATAAAATTTGCAAAGTATTAGAATATTAGTCGGAGGGTACTTAATGTAAGTACTCAAAAGTATAAGGTAATTTTGTAATTTACTTCTTCATGTATAAATACTCTCCTTTGTACATTAATTAAATCAGAATTCATTTTTACTAATTATTTAATGAATAAACTTTATGTTTACTTTAAGTATAAACTTTGACAATATTTTTTAAAATAAACAAATAAATGTATACACAAAAATATCAAAATGAGAAACATCACAAATAAATAAAATTTCGTTAACATTCATTTCTATAAAAAAAAATTACATAGTAGAACCAAGTCCCATCTTGATCACTTGATCATTAAATTGTAATGGTGGCATGCCTTTAGTCAAATGATTAACTATTATTAATTCAATTCTAACATGTTCTATGATTACTTTCTTATCTTTAACACATTCTCTTATAGTTAATTAATTACTTAATCTCGATGTATTTACTTTGACTATCACTTTTGCTATTTTTAACCATAAAAACAATAGTTGAAATGTCATAATATATCTTCAATGGCCTAGAAATTGAATCAATGATTCTAAGCTCATAAATGAAACTCTTTAACCATACTCCATATGAGGTAGCCTCAAAACACGAAACGAACTCAGCCTCCATAGTGGAAGTAGTAATCAAGATCTGCTTAACACTCCTCCATAGTTCCACTAGCAAACATAAACATGTATCTTGATTTTGATTTTTGTGAATCAACACAGCCAGCGAAGTCTGAATCAGAGTAGACGATCACCTTTAAGTTATTAATTTATTTATACATTAACATATAATCCTTTCTTTCTTGAAGATATATCATAACTTTCTTTGCAGCTCTCTAGTGGTCAATACCTGAATTACTCTGATATCTTCTTAATATTCTGACAACAAGTATAATATTAGGTCTTGTGTAAACCTGAGCATACATTAGGTTTTCAACAACAAAAGCATATGGAATGTTTTTCATTTGTTCCATCTTTAAATTGTTTTTCGGGCATTGGTTCAAATTGAACTACTTATCATCCTTCACAATGGGATTTACACTTGGTGAACAATATTTCATCCGAAACCTCCCTAAAATTTTATTAATATAGTTTTTTGAGATAGACTTAGAATATAATGATTTTTGTTATTATGAATCTTAATGCTTATAACATAGGACGCATAACTCTTATCTTTCATATCAAAATTTTTAGAGAGAAATTATTTCACCTCATACAACATTCTCTTACCATTATTTTACTTCCAATGATTTTTTGGTATATAAACTGATCCACAATGTTCTCTATAAAACCAAACGAAGAAATAATATTATGGAATTTGAAATACCACTAACATGAGGTTTGTTTCAATCCATATATGGATTCTTCAACTTGCACATTAAGTGCTTACCATCACTAGAGGAGAATCCTTCTGGTTGTTTCATGTAAACCTCTTCTTCTATATCACCATTAAGAAATACCGTTTTCACATCTATTTGTTACAATTTTAGGTCAAAATGAGCTACCAATACCAATATAATTCATAAGGAAAATTACTTTGATACAAAAGAAAAAGTCTCTGTGTAGTCAATTCCTTACTTTTGATAATCCCTTTATAATGAGACATGTCTTGTATCTCTCAATGTTGCCTAATGAGTCTTTCTTTATTTTGAAGACTCATTTACACTAATGGCTTTTGCACCATCAAAAAACTCAATAAAATCTCATACCTCATTACTCTTCGTGGAATTTATTTCATCTTTCACGACATTGAACCATAATTTTGACTTCCGATAACTCATGGCTCGTTAAAAGGATTCAAGATCATTTTTTACTCCAATATTATAGTCAGACTCTTGTAGATACACAATGTAATTGCTAGACATCGTTGACTTTCTCTCTTTAGTAGATCTCCTTAGTGTTGCAGCAATAGGATTTTGAGGATTTTCTTGTTGTTCAACTAGTTGTTTAGGGTTTTTTAATATTTCTTGAACAATTTGATCTACTGGATTATTGTAAACATCTTGTAGAACTTCAACAATTGGTTGCTCAACTCTCGTTTGTTCTTCAGGGGTGTTGTGTATCGTAACCAATCTATCTCTTAAAGTGAAAGATTGATCTCTCATATAAACTATGTTTGAAAATTGATCACTCACACTAATTAAGTCATTATTAAGAATTTTGTATTTTTTGACTCCACAATCCTAGTGTTATGAGATGGGCAATAAAATCTATATCATTTGGACCTTTCAGCATATTCAATGAAATACCTACTAATAGTCTTCAGGTCTAGTTTTTCTTCTTTGGGATTGTAAACTCTTACTTCAGACGAACATCCCTATACGCATATATGTTGCAAACTCGGTTTCCAACCCTTGAGTAACTCAAATGGTGTCTTTGGGACAGCTTTCATTGAAACTCTATTTAATATATATATCATTGTATTAAGAGCTTCATCCCATAATTAATTAGGGAGTTTAGAACTGCTAATCATACTACGCACCATGTTCATTAAAGTTCAATTCCTTCTTTCTATTACACCATTATGATATGGAGAACTAGATATACTGTATTGGGCAACTATTCTATTTTCTTTAAGAAACTTCACAAATGGACTAGGTGCATGTCCATCTTTATGTATCTACTATAATACTCTTTACCTCTATCAGTTCTCACGATCTTAATTTGTTTATCTCATTGTTTCTCTATTTTAGCCTTGATAACTTTAAAAATATATAAGGCTTCGTCTTTACTACGAAACATATAGATATACATGTATTGTGGGTAGTCATCTATAAAGATGAGGAAATATTTCTGACCATATGTGTCCATGTCTGGACAACAAATTTGAATATACGATTTCTAATATATTTGAGCTCCTTTTGGTACTTTTTTTTGACTTGTTAGTCAATTTGCCCTTAATGTAGTTCACACAAGTGTCAGAATTAATAAAATCCAAAATTTAAAGTACTTTATCTTTTACTAATCTTTTAATTATATCAACAGAGACATATTCTAATCTCTTATGCCACAAAATAGAGGAGTCCTCATTCATAACATAACGTTTAGTACCCGTTTGAAAATGCATAAGATCATAAGTGATTTCATTTTTTAAACTAAGATAGAAAAGACCATTAGATAATGTACCATTCCTAACAAGTTTAGATTTATGAAATAAATCAAAATAAGTATATGAAAAATTAAAGGAATATTCAAAAACTATAAGTTTTGAAATTAAAATCAAATTTATGGAGAAATTTTGAATATAAAGTATTTTCTCTAACTTCAAAATAAAACCACTATTTAAAACCAAATTGCATGTTTCTATGGCCTCCGCATGTGAACACATCTTGCTTCTTGAATAAATGCATTGCTCACTTGCCATTGGTTTCCTTAGGTTTTGTAAACCCTAGAAGGAATTCGAAATATAAATTGTTGAACTAGAATCAATCCACCATGTTTTATGACCAACATCAACTATATTAGACTCATAACAAGCTAATGAGGTTGGATTTATATTTCTTCTCAAGATAATTATGAAATTTAGTACAATCCTTCTTTATGTGCCCCTTTTTTTTACAGAAGAAACATTTGGATTCTTCTTTATATTAAAATTTTGTTTTCCCCTTATTATTGGCTTAATTCTTCTTCTTTTCTTGTGTTGCTCTGAAAACACTTTCTCCCTATTCCATTATCAGCTTTCCTTCGTCTTGAACACATATGGTCAAAAGTTCATTAATTGACCATTTATCCTTATACGTGTTGTATGAGATTTTAAAGGGTCCATACTACTGTGAAATAGTGTTCAAAATGTAGTGCACATGGAAAGTATCAAATATCTCAACATTAAGTTTTTTAGCTTAGCAGCAATGTCCATCATCTGTAGGATGTGCTCATGCACACCTTTCACATATAGCATAACATAAGCATCTGAAAACTTTTAGATACTTATATTCAGGAACAGAAAGAAACAATAGCTCAAATGGAGTCCTGTTGTTGATGACTGGAAAAGGCAATTGACTGATTAAATAAATTGCATGTGTAATACAGGATGGCCATAAATTCTTAGGTACTTAATATAAATACTCAAAAGTATAAGATTAATTTTATACTTTACTTTCCATGTATTTAAATACTCATCTCTGTACAATAATTAAATTAGAATTCATTTTTACCAAATTTTCAATCTCGAGTTCTTTCTCCTCTCTGAAACCTCTATTGAGCCATTTTCATTTTATGCTTAGATTTCCTACTAAATTTCCTCTACATTTGATCATTTCTTTACTTCAGATTCTTCACAAAATCTAATACATAGCAGGAAAAAAAAGCTTAAGAATATAAAGTTGTTAAGATATTGTTGCCAACCAAGTAGAAGAATTAGTGAGATATTAATATTTTTGTAAAATTATAACATATATATTTCTTATAAGGCTAGTATAACCTTACTATTTTTTCATTTAATTTTTCACTCCTTTACGTACATCAAATTATTTCTTGTTTCAACTAACTCCCCGCATGATCGAATAAGAGTGTATAAGAGACTTATGAGATTGGCATGAGGGGGTAGGGATGATTATATTTTTGGAAGTGAACTCTAGGCGAATATGAAGTACATTAATATAAGTTATGCTTTGGAAGAAAGACAATTCCGAATTAGTTTTGTTTATGAACAAGGAAGTTATAAGTAATACAACTATGAATCTTATGGATAGTTATCTTGACTCAATATGAATGTCAGGGGCATGCTTAACACCTGCAAAATTAATAATTAATGTTCTTTTGATTTTATCTCATCGAATAATACTATTTATCGAATTGTTGTTAGGATATAAGTTTTATGTGTCATTTGAGTATTCTTTTAAATTTAGTATTTTATAAATACTTATAAATGAGCTTAATCAAATATATAATGGTAGTTATGATGCTATGTAGGGACAAACATTTAAGGTTGAAGAAAAACATACTTGATCATTTATATCTCGAGAGACACATGACATGACATTAGAGGACATACAACAATATTTAGATAATTAATCCATCTGAAATTTAGGCATTGCAAGATATAAATGAAAAATATATTGATGTATTGTTGTTCTTTTTGGGAATCGAGATAATAGGCTTACCATTAAACTTAAATTTGGGCAACCTAAAAGGGTAGATTGACAATTTTTCTAAACTTATTATTCTGAAATAATACAGCTCTCTTTGGGTTTAGATATATTGGTTTGCGTTGAAAGAATTTTTTTTTTCGTTAGCAAGAGGTGTACGACGATTGATCTGAAGTAGGACTAAACTAAGATAGGATCAAAATGGACTAATTTCCTCGATCTTTTATTTTTTAGAAATAATGCCTTTATCCATCACGTCTAATTTTTTGATTAGAACTAGATAATCAAATGCACACCATAAAACTACTCATACTTAATCAAAGGTGCAACCAATGCCATCTACATGCCTTGACATCAAATCATTTTTCTTTTTTTTTTTTTAAGTTTAGAATGTTAATCATTAAGACAACATGAACATTTTTAAGATTGAGTTAACTGTCTTAAAAATGATATTTATCTATTTCGTCCATTTGATATTTATGTTTAAACTATGGAAAAATAAAATTTTGATCAAAAGTTGAAAAAATAGGTATTTTCAAATAGAAACTGAAAGTATATGTTTCAGAAAATGACATGTAATGGAAGAGATGAGTCATATTTTAAGTTAGTGTGTTTATTAATTTTATGTTTTATTAGTTTAAAAAAGAATTAATATTTTTAAAATAATCATATAATATTAATCACTATAAGTAATTTTATATTTACTATAAATATTTAAATAATTTGTATTTCAAAATTAAATATTAATAATTTAAAATTAATATATATTCAATCAAATAAATAAAAAACTAAATTTAAATAAATATTTTGAAATATTTTATTTTTAAAAAATAATACTATTTTAATAATTGTTTTTTTATCATTTTAATTTTTTTGGTTAATTCTATAATAAAATAATTCAAAGATAATATATATTTTATAATGAGAATACTTTTGTATAGCAAAACCAAATGATATATTGTTCTTCAGCTTAAAATTACTTTTATTAAAAGTTATTTTCTAAAATACTTTTCCACTTAAAATACAAGAAGACAAAGGTAAAAGAAGATTTCATTATCATGATTACAAGTAAAACACTTTACACGTTCACCATTTCATCTAGGATTAAAGACAAAAAATTAAACTACTTACTCTGTCTTGAAAAATATAGGTCAAAATTACTACTTGCATGAGACTGAAATCTTTCAACCAAGCTGAGAGTTGTCAAATTCTAATTCTGATGCAACTTAATATTTGAAATTTTTTTATGGTTTCTTGTCTAGAGCTTCTTCCCTTGCCACATCTTGTGGAGACAAGAAAGGCCTGGGAGGCATCTCAAGGCCTTCAATTTCTCCTTCCAACATCTCCACAACCTGATTCATGGAGGGTCGATCACTAGGCTTCAACTGTATGCACCACAAGGCTACTAAGATCATCTTCTTCATTATTTTCTTTTTGTCTTCTGTAACTTCTGCAATTGCTATGTCCTTCCCTTCGCTATACTGATCATATGCCCATGAAGGAAAATAAATTTGACTCAAGTGATCTATGTGTGGATTCAAATTTTTCCTTCTGCCTGCCATTTCCATTAGCAACATTCCAAAACTATACACATCTGCTTTGTAGGATATGCCTCCAATATTCTTGTAAAATAGTTCTGGAGCCATGTAACCCATCGTTCCTCTTGCTGCTGTGAGAGAAACAATGCTTTCTTCTGTTGAATACAACTTGGCCAGTCCAAAATCAGACACTTTGGGAGTGAAGTTTTCATCAAGGAGAATGTTGTGAGGCTTGATATCAAAGTGCAGAATTTGCATGTTACAGCCCCTATGCAAATACTCAATCCCGTGAGCTATTCCAAGAGAAATCTTATACATCTGCGTGCAGCTGAGAGGAGTGATGTTTCCTTCTGTTGAAAATATGTGCTTCTCTAATGATCCATTAGGCATGAAGTCATAAACAAGGGCCCGATTAGATCCTTGAGCACAGAACCCTATTAGCTGCACCACATTAACATGATGAATCCTGCCAATGGTGGCTACTTCATTGATGAATTCTTGGCCATTAGCTTTGGACTTGCCTAGTAATTTAACTGCTACAGAACGACCACTTCTAAGTTTCCCTTTGTACACAGATCCGTAGCCACCCTCTCCTAATTTGTGCTTATAGCTTTTAGTCATTTTTTTAATGTCTGAGAAAGAGTATCTGATAGGCACAAGATCATTTTGGCTCTGAAGAAAATCTTCAACCATATTATCCATCGACAAGTGCCTCCTTCTCCACTTATATGTTAAAAAACAAGCCACACATGGTATTCCACATAAAATTCTTTCTGCAAGCATTATTACTGCATACATTGAAATTAGAAGTGCATGAATTACGAAAATTCTTGCTCTAACATGTAATCTTTTGCATAACACAGGTATTTTACTACAAAACATTAATTTAAACATAGTGGATATTTATCAAAATTAGGAAATTAAGTAAATGATTACTTACAAATTACAAGTGATCCTATTCTGTACAACACTGTAAAAACACAGCACCAAATTAGATAAGCTAAATATGAGAATAAAGTAAAGAGGAAGAAACATTGCATTGTCTCCTTAGTGTTAAAATCAATTTATATCTATCTATTTCTTTTAAAACTCTGATGTAATCAACATTTTCTTTCTTTTAACCACTAGAAAACCATATGATGTAGATCCTCGTGGTTGATGGCACATAGTTATATTATATATTCGAAATATTCGAAGAAGATAAGCAACTTCCTTTCCTTTCTTTTTTTTTGTCTTTTTGGAATCCATACTAAGTCAACTAGCCGGGTAAATGCACTATACAGTCATCTCCTTTTCCAATTCTAAATGTTGAGTAAAATATCAACTCTAATGTAATAGTTAACCTAACATCCACAATCATCACAATCATATCTCTTTTAAAGAACTAAAACTTATAACCAGCCCCTATAAAACAAAATTATAAATCCAAGCTAAATTACTAAAAGAAAACAAGAAGAATTACCGGGTAGACCATAGAATTGTAAGTACCCTGCAAGATAAAAAAAGCAAAGAATATTAATGCAAAAGTTAGAAACATTAAATTTTATGAATATTTGGGAAAAATATGACAATCAATTATTTTCAACCCTTTTAATTAAGCAACACAATGCATGTATAAATTTTTTGCATTATACAATTTCAAACTGCCTCTAGAATAAAGGTAAACACATATTTAGTTCAATGGCTTCAAATGGATGAAAATTCAACTTAAAATATCTTGGTACTGTTTATTTGACTTAAATATTTATCTTCTCCATCATAATTGAACTAAGTATACATTTTCGAATGAATTTCACGAAAAAAGTTTAATTCTAAACATTTTTTTAAATAGTACCCCCATATCATATTTGGAAATGTTTTTTTTTTCTTTTTTTTTTTTTTTTAAGAAATTCGTAAAATATAAAAATACAAAATAGATAAAAATGAGAGAAAGGATGTTATTACTATACCATCTGGGCCAAGAAAGGGACAGAGGAATCCCACTTTACAATCCGACTTCCATGAAAGCTCAAATCCATATAGGAGATGGTTGCGGATGTGTTGGAAGGAGATGGTGTTTGAGTCGTCCAGTTCCAGCGGCAAAGATGTCATGAGTATGAGCTGTATAGTGCAAGATTTCTCCAACTCCCCTGCTCCCAGGCTTCCAATTATCACATAAGAATAATGGCCTGCTGATCCATTTATACAAGGACGCGTGTCTACATAGCGAGAAGACCTCACTGGATGCGCACACTCTACAAAAATCAAACTCTGATGTGATTTCTTCGGTAGATCGAGAAGAATAAAATCATTAGGCGGTGAGAAAAAGCTATAGGGACGGGTTGCGTTGTATGGGCTGAAAGACGATTGAGGAAGGGAAGAGCATGGGTTGGTATGATGAAGAGTGGCATCCAACAAACGGATGGTGAGATTGTTGTAATCGATGGATTGGACGATGTAATCAGCTGATTCCATTTGTACAAGGGTTAGATTGTTTTGACATGTTAAGGGAATTGTTTGGTTGCTGCAATTTTGTTGGTGTGTTAATCTGAAGGGGAAGGTAATTTTTGGGATGTTGCCGCAGGAGGAAGGCAGGCAGGCATTGAAGTTTTCCTCGCCGTGGCAGATTTGGTTTAATACGATTAGAGAGGAAAAGAGAAAGAGAAGCTTGGCTATAATCATGAGATCGGGGAGTAGTAAGAGAAGAGGGAGAGCAGATAGGAAGTAGAAGAGACGGAAGAAGAAGAAGAAGAAAACACAGAAACTTGAATATTTTGGTGGAATGTTAAGCATAGTATGTTAAAGAAGCTAAAAAGTCAATAAACTAAAACAACTACTTTGACTAAAATTATTAAATAGAAATATTTAATTTTAATTAAATCCCCATAGAGACTTTTAAGTGTTAAAAAAAGCAAAATCAATGTCATCTCAATAATCTCAGGCTCTGCATTACCTCACCATCTAATTAAAAATTCATAGTGTACATATCAGTATCTTCAACTGTTAAATTATACAATTCCCCACTCAAAAAAAAAAAATAAAAATAAAAATAAAATAAAAACAAATCTCCTTAAAGCTTATGGGTGAAATTAAATTCACTAAATAAACAAATAAAGTTTGAATTGGTCAAAATATGCAAATTTTCTTCCTCAGCAACGTAAGTCATTTAATATTGTCCAAGTATATAAACAATGGAAGATCACCCGCATTACATATTCCTTTAAAATGTTTTTCTACTTATTTTTGTTGTTGCTGCTGCTGCTCCTCCTCCATACAGAATACAGCCATGGAGTTGACCCCTACCAATGCCCAGAATCAAGATGCGGAGCAGATGGTCCGATGGTCCGATTTCCATTTAGGCTGGAAAAGATTCAACCACAGCACTGTGGGTATCCTGGATTCCATCTCTCTTGCACTGAAAACAACCAGACTCTGCTCCGCCTTCCAGTTTCGGTCAACCTCTTTGTAACACAAATCGATTACCAGAATCAAAAAATCTACATCCGTGATCCTCATGATTGTCTTCCCAACCAGCTTCAAAACCTCACTCTATCTGCTTCCCCTTTCAAATTTGATGCTAATATCCTCCATGATTTCACCATATTCAGTTGCTCGTCAACAAGGGGAGCTATATTCAACAGATGGGATAGAATAGAGTGCTTAAGTGTGCCAGAATCTGAGGCTTTAACTGTTCCGTCATTTGACCACATAGATGAACTGTCACTAACTTATTGTACCAAGATGTATGACCTCTCATCTCTTCCGTACTCTGTATTTTTAACAAATACAGATCATTCTTTATTTTGGTCAAAACCATCTTGTGGGCGTTGTGAAGCCAAAGGAAATATGTGCAGATTGAAGACCGGTACCTCAAAGCCAGCAATTCAATGTCTCAGCATCCACCCTCAATACAAAGGTATTTGATTTCTTCCACATTGTTGTATTCCTATCCAAAATCATAATTATATAAATTAGTATAGATTCTTAACAAGGGAGTCGAGGAATATTAGGCAGGAACAAGTTATGAGATCTTAGATTGGTTATGTTTCTAATAATATGTTAAATCCTTAACCAAAACTGTGGTGGTAGAAAAAGTTGTTACATAGATTCTTGTTTAATGTGTGCGTGAGGCAGGGCAGCATTAGGCATGAACAAGTTTTGAGATAGAATTAGCTACGGTAAAACGTTAGGTTCTTACGATAACTATATGGTGTCAGAAATAATTATCTATGATGTACATAAAATAGAATAGATACTCATCTTTGGTGGGATTACATCCATTAACAAATAATACTTAGCATTTATATGTTTGAACAAAACAGAAAAAAAGTCAATAAAAACTTTTACATCTCGCAGGAGGGTGGAGGAAGAGGCTAAAGGTTGCAGGTGAGTTGAGTATTAATAAATGTTCAGTTTTCTAGCCTAGGCTATTTTGCAGGGATCTTGACTTGAAAATCTTGCATACGCTGCAGGGTCAATCTTAGGTTCACTTCTTCTTGCTGTGATAATCTTTGGAGGGTACAGATTTTACACTTCTGACAAAGCTGAAAAAGAAAACCAAGCAAAAATAAAACAGTTTCTAGAGGACTTTAGAGCTCTTAAGCCTACCAGATATTCCTATGCTGACCTTAAGAGGATAACTAATCAGTTTATGGAAAATCTGGGTGAAGGAGCCTATGGAACTGTGTTTAAAGGAAAGCTGTCAAATGAAATCTTTGTGGCTGTAAAGATACTCAACAATTCTACAGGGAAGGGTGAAGAGTTCATAAATGAAGTGAAGACAATGGGTAGAATCCACCATGTTAATGTGGTTCGCTTGGTTGGCTATTGTGCTGATGGCTTCAGACGAGCTCTCGTATATGAATACTTGACAAACAATTCACTGCAGAAGTTCATATCTTCTGCAGACAAAAATAGCAACTTTCTTGGTTGGCATAAATTGCAGGATATTGCTCTTGGCATAGCCAAAGGCATTGAGTATCTGCACCAAGGTTGTGATCAAAGAATTCTCCATTTTGATATCAAACCTCATAATATCTTACTAGATGAAAACTTCAATCCTAAAATCTCAGATTTTGGTCAGGCTAAGCTGTGTTCCAAGGATCAAAGTGCAGTGTCGATGACAGCAGCAAGAGGAACAATGGGCTACATTGCTCCCGAAGTTTTCTCGAGGAACTTTGGGAAGGTATCTCACAAATCGGATGTTTATAGTTTTGGGATGTTATTGCTTGAAATGGTTGGAGGTAAGAAGAACATGAATATTGCATCTGACAACACATGCCAAATCTACTTCCCGGAGTGGATATATAATCTTTTGGAACAAGGAGACGAGTTAAGAATTCATATGGAGGGAGACGAAGATTCTGAAATTGCTAAGAGGCTTGCAATTGTTGGATTGTGGTGCATACAATGGCATCCAATTGACCGTCCTTCAATGAAGGTTGTTGTGCAAATGTTGGATGAAGGATATGATCTCACAATGCCTCCAAATCCTTTCGCCTCTACGCACCTTAAAGGACCTACTACAAGCATGGTTCTAAGGCATAGGCACCGGGAACTCAAAACCATCTCTGAAACTCACCAAGAATTAGACATCATCCACGAGATGGAGTGACAAACTTGTCTGGAACCGGATCACAATTCAGCAACACAATGTTATTTCTATGCTCTAAAATTCTGCAACAAGATAAATGAGTGTTTATTGCTGCAAAATTCTGAAAGAACAGTGATTCACTGGAGAACTTAACTTCCCTTTGTCAAATATTAGGACTACAAGCACAAAGGTTCAACGATATTGTATAAATCAATATCATATTCTCCGTGGAACCAAGTAAATAGAGTGTATCAGTGAATGATTTCTGGTGGTGTCTATGAGAACTTATTATTTTTCCCTGCTATTCAGTTGACCAAGGATAGGTAACAATATTGCCCTCCTACTTATCTGGGTCTATAGGATTAGTGAACTGATGATTTAATTTTGATTCTGTAATGCTCTGTGTTACAGATAATAATTGAAATCCAAAACTATTGTAGTTAGTATCAGAGCCAAACACCTAAAATTCAAATCCGAGATGCCGTCCACTTTTAATTCATTAAATTTCAACCAAAGCCATTTCTCTTTCTTAAACATCAGTACAAGTCATTAAATATCTCAGCACATTTCAGAAAATTAAATTTCACCAGAAGTTATAAGAGACATATCCCCATTTCATCCAAGCTTCTGATCTAGTTGCAGCTCATGGGTTAATACATACACCAGTACTTGAACTCACACTGGTATACACCATCCAGCCAATAAACGATATGCTAATAGCTCCTACCTAATCAATTGGGAAGCTTGAACACTTGCTACAACTTATTATTCTTACTGTTTATTAGATGTTCGGGAAGTGTTAGAACGCACAGGGTTAATTGGAATGTACAAGCATTAGCGTAATTGCAAATATTTAAGAAGCAAGGATGTTCGTATACAATTTACAGAAATTTATACCGTTATACGACAAATAGAAACATATAACTAGGAACACAGGCATAAATAAATGTATATGCGGGAAGAGAGTGAAGCACACCTGAAGTTGAGGAACTGGCCAAAGACAATGAGGGGCCAGAAGAAGATACGCTAGCAAACAATGAAATTAGTTTGAGAAACGAGCTAATATAAAAAATTAGTTTTTTTTTCATTTAAATTCATTTTTGTACGCTGTTAAATTTTTTTAACATTATTAATTTTATATTCGTATAAAAACTGGCCTAGTAGGATAATTTTTTGTATGTCACGTGGTTGTCCACGTAAACAAAAAATTATTTTCTTTGCCTTCTCTCTGTTCTTTCTTCTATTATACAACATGCAATTATGGTTTGTTAGCCCAAGCCCACAGAGCATAAGCCCATGAGATTAATGAGAAGGCTAGACAAGTTGCGGTGACCCATGTAAAGATCTGCATCCCAAACTGTATGTCTATGTGTATGTGTGTGTGTATATATATATATATATATATATATATATATTCTTTTAAGGTTTTGAATGGGAAAGATAATGTGTAAATCAGGTGTCCATACCAAGTGTTTTTAATCTAGGTATAAAATAGAAAAGATAATGTGTATATCAGGTGAACATACCAACTGTTTTTAACTTAGGTATAAATACCCGCTATTGAATTGTTAGAAGCATTCGTAAGAAAAAATCTGTTAGAAGTTTAGATTTTTTGGCTAAATAAAGAAGATACAAAAAATCTCACCCTAGGAAAAATTCTTCTAAATGAATTTTTAGAAAAACCTTCAACATTATATTAAATGAATAAGACTGACACTTAGTTCTAAGTCTTACTTGTATCTGTAAGGTCTAATTTACAAGCCTAAAAGATCCATCTGGTACCACATATAATAGCATCATCGACTCTCATCCATGGAAACAATTTTTTTGGCTCATGTATACTAAAGAATGTGAAGATACTTGACTCATTATTTTGTCGGCATAATTTTTCAAAGTTAAGTGGTTTTTAATTCATTAACATAATTATCATGGTCCACTAAGTACATGGTGAATACCATATGCAACATACATTCAAAGATGTCCAACACTTACTCCTAGTCATCACACAGTTTCCTTTTAGGATTTTCACCTTAATAATAAGAATAATTAGCAATGCAATTCTTCACTATTAGGTAGAACAATTAGCAATTCAATTTTCAATGACGACGCATCCGACGAGCACAATGCATTCATTGACACATTTTGCCTCAAAATCTAGGGGCTCAAGTGCGTGCATTGAGGTAATGGTTGCAGTACCAGTATTGCTGTTGGAGTTGGTAACTTTGGGAAGGTCAATATCACTAATTTACCCTCGTCTTTTGACTCAGTAATTTCTTATTTTGCTAGCTTCTTGGCTTTCTTGATATGTTTACCTTGTTCCCAGTTGGTAGAAGGACCAGGCAACTCTCTGGTTTGCTAATGTGTGTTGACCACACTCGACGTGGACTTGCCATCTCCATTAGATTCTCATATTTTTTTCGAAAAAGTATGATGAGTTAATCTTTTGTACCTATTTCTTTATGGATGAAGTCTTAAAGACCACAATATATATCTTGAACAGAGTTTTTAGTATGACAATATTGTAATTTCTTACGAGTTGTGAACTTGTCAAAAACCAAGTTTAAGACATTTACATATATGGGTTTGTGCAGCAGATGCAAGAATCTTCAAACCTCATAAGAAAAAACTAGATTTAAGGATAATTTCTGAATATTTTATTAGTTATCCCAATAACTACAAAGGTATAGATTTTGATGTTCTAACCATGGTACAAGAATAGTTAAAACTAGTAATGTCAGATTTTTAGAGAATCACAAAATTAATGGAAGTGAAATACTAAGAAAAGTAGACATTGAGAAAATAAGAGTGGATATTTCACCATCCTTTTTGCCTAAAAAAACAGTTGTTGCTCAATCTTCTCAGTAAGTTATAAAGAGTGAGCTACATAATAGAGATGGTTGATTACCACAAGAAGATGTTATCATTGAAAATGTTGTAGAACAACCTCAATTAATATTTTTGAGAATATCTCAAAGGGAAAGAAAATCTACTATATTAAATGATATGAGCAAAAAAAGGAAAAAAAAAAATTTTAAGGGAGAATCAGTCAAGAGGGAAGACTTCTTACTAAACTATGTGATATGTTAGAGGAAGAGAAAATTAAATCTCATTCCTTAAAGAACTAAATCCCACAGTTTAGGAAAGATATGGGTGGCTCTTTGCTCTTTTAATGGTCAACCTTAGTTAACTATATTTACTTCCCCTAATTCCTCTACAATTTATTAAAATATTCTCATTTAAAAAGAACATATTTTATATAATATATTCTAATGGAAGTCTTCTTAATTTTTATTATTTTCTCATTCAAGATAAGATTTAATTTTTTTTATAATTTCTACTATTAATTTGGGAGATTTATTTTCTTGTAATGGACATGGTCTACTCTATAAATAGATCTTTAATTTACAATTGTAATAATTCAGGTTTGAGAATAATAAAACTATAAAGTTTTAGTTTTTAATTAGTTAGGTTTTGTCAACCTTTTTATTGAGAGGGGATTGATCAAAGTAAGTCATTGTGGTGTTTTATCAATCCCTCTTGAATTGAGTTTACTTATCAAGATTCTATGTTATGGCATTTAATCAATTCAAATAATCATCCCAATTACCTTAGTTGACATTCACGAGTTGAATGCAGATCAACTAGGGAGGATTTGTTGAGGGTTTTATAATTCCGAATACCAATATTATATGCGGAGTTTTTGATCACATTAGTTGATCATGAGTTTCATATCATTTGGTATAAGAGTTCAAACTTGAGATAAATCTTACTATCTTGTATCTTTTCTCCTTCTATATTTTTTTATTCTTTATATTTTAAAACAACGTACCTTACATCCTTTTTTTAAGCATAAAAAACAAACAAAAAAATATATCTCTAAGTTTTTATTTTTCTTGCATTCTAAGTTTTTTTTTTTCATTGTGCTTTTATTCTATTATATCTCTAAGTAATTAATTGCGTCCTAGTTATTTAACATCATACATAAAACACACACTATATTCATTCTTGTATTTGAATTGTTACTTTTAGAATTATTTTACCACTTTCTTTCTATAGTATTCTTTAAAGTGTCATAAACAAAACTTGATTCAAAAAAATTCAATTCTCACATTCAACTTGAAGGAAGGAGGTTGGGTAAATCACAAGGAGTGAAATATGTGAGAGAGTGTTTTTTTTATTAACCATTCCTTGCATATTTTTGTAATGACATCATACAATATTTTAGTCGATGACATTTTCTCAAAAAAGCAGAATTTAGTGAAACCCCGACATAAGAAGTGGTCGATTCGAGGACGAATCATTTTTGAAGAATGATGGAATGATGTGATTAAGGAAAGGGAAAAAAATTTCTTTAAAGGGAGAATTAGCCAAGAGGGAAGACTTCCTCCTAAACCATGTGATATCTTAAAGGAAAAGAAAATCAAATCTCATTCCTTAAAAAGCTAAATCCCACGGTTTAGGAAAGATATGAGTGGTCTCTTCGCTTCTTTAGTGGCCAACCTTAATTAACTATATTTACTTCTCTTAATTCCTCCACAATTTATCAAAATATTCTCATTTAAAAATAAAATTTCTTATCTAGCCTATTTTAGTTAAATTCTTCTTAATTTTTATGATTTTTTCATTTAAGATAAGATTTAATTTTCTTATAATTTCTATCATTAATTTAAAAGATTTATTTTCTTATAATGCACATGGCCTACTCTATAAATAGGTCTTTAATTCACAATTATAATTATTCAGGTTTGAGAATAATAAAACTATGAAGTTTTAGTTTTTAACTAGTTAGGTTTTGTCAACCTTCTTGTTGAGGAGGAATTGATTTAACTTATCAAAATAAGTCTTTGTGGCATTTTATCAATCCCTCTTAAATTGATTTCACTTATCAAGATTCCACCTTGTGGCATTTAATCAATTCAAATAATCATCTTAATTACCTTAGTTGACATTCATGTATTGAATGTAGGTCAAGTAGGGAAGATTTGTTGAGGGTTTTATGATTCTGAATACTAATGTTATATGTGGAGTTTTTGATCACGTTAGTTGATCATGGGTTTCATATTATCAGATGATTATGTGGTGTATCTATAAGAATTTAATTTTGATATTGGGATAAGAACATATCTGGTTACATTTTCACAAGTTATGGAAAGTGATGATTCTAGTAAATAGATAAAAGTCATGAAAGAAGAGTTACAATCTATGAACCATAATGCTGTCTGGGATATTGTCTTATTGCCTAATAATTGTAAAAGTATTAGTTATAAATAGGTCTTGAAGACCAAAAACGATATTAAAGGCAGT